CTAAATTACCCAATGAATGGAATGCATTGAGAGAGACATTGGACACTGGTGCATGGAAAGTCTACCATCAATTCCAGGGAAAACAGAACTGGTCCAAAAAAAGGAAGTGTAAATGTTGTACCTCACTGTGATAATTTTTTATGGGGTTGTTATAACAAAAAGATTGAATATTGATTGAACCAAAAATATGGTATCGGTGGTATCTTCTCCGTATCTAGGAGAATGGAGAAGGTGGTATTTGGGGATTTTTGGACCAGAATGAAAGCAAAAGACAAGCTGAGAGAGCATTAAATTCTCCATTACCAAAACAGAAAGTCAATACATGATACCTAAAACTAAGGGGTCTCAAGAACAGGCAAGAAGTAGTACATATATACAATGGAATATTACTCAGTCATAAAGAAAAATGAAACAATGGCATTTGCTGGTAAATGGATGGAACTGGAGACTATCATGCTAAATGAAATAAGCCAATTCCAAAAAACCAAAGGCCAAATGTTCTCTCTGATGTGTGGATGCTGACTCACAATAGGCAGAGGTGGGAGGGATGAATGGAGGTTCACTGGATGAGACAGGGTTAAATGCAGGGGAGGGGGGAGCAGGGATGGGAATGGGAAAGACAGCAGAATGGATCTGACATAACTTTCTATGTTCACATGTGAATACACAACCAGTGTAACTCCACACCGTGTACAACCACAAAAATGGGAAGTTAAACTCCATGTATATAAGAGATGTCAAAATACATTCTACTGTCATGTTTAACTAAAAAGAACAATTTTTTTAAAGGAACAGAATGATATTGAGGACTATGTGGACCCCTATTAGAGGAAGTAACTTAAAAGTAGAACCTTGACATCTTTGCCTTGGGGTTGTCACAGGACTTGGGGTTGGAAGGCTACTGATTCTCATTATAAGCTTTATAAACAATGTGTATAAAATACTTTGATAAAGAAAAACTAATCTTTAAAGACCCCGTTAACATATTATGTTCATTTTTTTATCTTTTATGTCTTTTATTCATTTCTACCTCAAGATCTTGAATTTAAAGCAAGAACCCCAAGGTGGTTCAACTATGGGCCCTTGGTGGATTTCTGGGTCCTGTCCGGAGTAACCCATCCAGTCTTGGTAACAGCAGAAGGCTGGGCTCCACACCATCCATTGTTGAGTGGCCATCTCTAGGAGGACACATTGCTGGAAAGATCTTTAGACCAAAGAAGAGATGGTCTTTTAATTTTATTTCCTTTGCCTCTCTGAGATTTTTAGCCTCCGAAAGGCCCTTATTAAAATGCAAGTTGCTGGGAAAGGGATGATCTTAAACCCCTTTGGCATAAAACCTGAACTTTTGGTTAATATTTTTACTGGAACTGACGAGAGTGGATTACTGGATAGGAGGGCAAGGGATGGTGAGGGCTGTCACTCCTGAGAAGGGGAACTAATTTAGGAGAAAACCGTAGATTTTGACATAATTACTTGGAGGCTGGAACATTTTAAACATTTAAAAAATAAATGCTTAAATCATTGCACATTGTACAGAACATAAATTCAGACCCCAGCCCCTGCCCCCCAACTTTATCCTTGATGTGCCCTCTATCCTAATCCCAATCCCCTTTCTCACCATCTCCCATTTCTGACCCCGACTCCTCCCCTGATTTGCCCACCCCTGATCCCAGCCCCATCCTGGTCATGAGCCCCTCCCTACGGGGACCTATCGCCCTAGATCTGACCAGTCATCTAATCCTCACTCTATCTAGTGATTGAAACGCCTGTATTGGATACTTCATTATGTTATGTTAAGGGAGTACCAAAATCCTGGCATTTTAAAAAATCTGAAATCCAAGTCATTTATGTCTTGTGCTAAACCCAGAGGACCACATGCCACATTGAAATATCTAATCAAATAATGTTGAACTTTTGGATTGAAGAGCTCTGATTATATCCCTCCCCTGTTTAAAACCTTTCCGCCTTATTTTATGGCTGCTAAATTCCCATCTCCCAAACTACTAGCAAGGCAGGGTGCTTACTAGTCACTTGTGTTTCCCTAGACCCAATAAGGATCTTCGTTTCCTTTCTGAAGCCATAAGGGAGCTGCTTTGGGAATTGGCACAGGATGGAGGAGAAGAAAGATGGATATTAAGGAAACAGGGGAGGGGCACAGGACACAGGGGCGGGAGAGAGAGGAAAAGAAGTCCTGTTTTAAGCCCTCCTCGCCAGGATGCTTTCTGCATTCTTCTCATCTTCTTTCCTGAGTCAGATTCATGTCTGAGCTCTGGAGTCCCTAACTTCTTTCTCATCCACTGCCTGGGGAACCTTAAGTGGAACCAGCCCAGGAGCCTCCATCCCGGCCCTAGAAGAGCATCTTAGATGATGGCCCAGAAACCATGGTGTTATGGTTTGGATGGGAGCTGTCGCCTGAAACTTCATGCGTAAAGTGATGCAAGAAGGGTGAATGGATTATGAAAGCCTTAACCCAATCAGTGAATTAGTCCCCTGATAGAGAGTCACTGGGTGGAGACTGTGGGCAGGTGGGGCGTGGCTGGAGGAGGTGGAAATTGGGGTGTGCCTTTGGGGTATACGCATTTTGTGAGCTGAGCTTCGTGTCTGCTTCCTGGTGTGATGTCCTAAGTTGCTTTCTTTGCCTCACTGTTCCGCCCTGACTTCCTATCCTACCTTAGACCCTGAGGAATGCAGTCGGCTATCTAGGGACTGAGCCCCAAAATAAACTTTTCCTGCTCTAACTGTTCTCCTCAGGTCTTTCTTTAGGTCACAGCAGTAAAAAAGCTGACTAAAACAAAGAGTGACCCTACTAGTGAGGTCTTTTTGCTCCAGCCTTGTAGCCAATCACCCATCCTGACACCCCTCCCTGAGTCTCCCACACCTCCGCACTTACCCAACCCCTAAGCCTCTCTCCAACCTGGTCCAGCCCCAATTGGACCCTCCCTGTCTCCAAGCCCTCATAGTATCCCTCATCCTCACCCACCCCATCCCCAATCTCTCCTTATTTCTGAATCTCTCCCTATTCCCGACATTCATCCTTCTCTGACATTTCACCTTAACCCAACCTCCACCCATCCCTGCACCTCATCTCTGACTCCAACCTCAACCCTTGACCCAGTCTCACCCTTTATTAAATGCCCACCTGGGAACCTCCAGCTCAAGCCATCTGATACCCGCCAAGCCACATATTCCAATGCATTCTCAGTGTTGCTTAAGCTGGTTGGAGTTGAGTTTCTACCATTAGCAATTAAAGGAGCCCCGATGTCTTCAGAATATTTTTACACAGATAAAAACAGAATGAAGATAAACCACATAGGCAAACTTAAGGGATGAAATACTCACCCAGGGTAGCAGGAGGGTGAAGAGGAGGGGACCAATAAGAGGTGCTCTGAGCAGATGGTGTGCAAATGAGCTTGGGCCTTTTAGCACCTATTCATTCATTCAATAAATATTTACCGAGAGGTAAATGGGCTCCAAGCAGCATGTCAGATACCAGGGATACAGAGTGAACAAACAGATGATTCCCGCTTCACAGAGGAAAAACTATGAATAAACTGCTATTCCATCCATGTAAGCATTTGGGAAAGGGGTGAGTTAACACAGTCAGGATTGGGGTATGTATTTTGAGAGCTGAGCTTGGTCTCTGTTTCCTGGTGTGGTGTCCTAAATTGCTTTTGAGGGATCCCAGGGGATGAAGCTTAAGTGGAGGTGAAGCTGAGATTGTCTGGAGGTACATTTTCTTTTGCTCAAGACAAGGGGATCCTCAGCCCAGGGAGCAAGAACAATGGGTCTGTGTCTCAAGAGATACTTTTGGGGGAGTAATACCCCCATTCTACTGTAGCAACAACCAGTAACATCACTCACACCTTTTACTCTACATCACAGCCAAGATATTCCCACAGGCACAAATACAAAACTGAAATTTAAATATATATTTTTTATTATTAATTTTTTTATATCTGACAGTGGAATGCATTACAATTTATATTACACATAGAGCACAATTTTTCATATCTCTGGTGGTATACAAAGTATATTCACACCAATTTGTGTCTTCAGGTGAATATGATGTCCATCACATTTACAATCAATTCTAACCCCCTGCCCCCTCCCTTCCCCTCCCACCCCTCTACCCTAGAGTTCCTCTATTCCTCCCATGCTCCCTCTCCCTACCCCACTATGAATCAGCCTCCTTATATCAGAGAAAACATTCAGCATTTGTTTTTTGAGGATTGGCTAACTTCACAAAACAGAAATTTTATTGGAAATGGCTAGCACCCAGCTGATTGACCGCTGTGTGGGGATCTGTGAGGTTGCTGAGACTCTGTGTCAGGTTAGAAGCACCAAGAGGGCAACAAGCTGCTAGTCTTGTTCCATCCATGGCTCAGCACATTCCCAATGTGCACATTGTCCTGTCTATGATGTTGGTCATGATGTAAAGAGGCATCTCTTGCGATAGGTCTGGCTTCCCAATCACCCTCTGTTCACCTACTATACCTAAGGGAAGAATGCTTTCCTGTTCCATCACAAGGTCTCCATCACAAGGATGGTTTGATGTTTCAGCAGCACCTGCTTCCATGTCCCCAGAAGATACTGCAACATACTGGAGATAGAAAAAAATTGTGTGGCCGGGTGTGGTGACATATGCCTGTAATCCCAGTGACTTGGGAGGCTATGGCAGGAACATCACAAGTTCAAAGCCAGCCTCAGCAATTTAGTGAGGCCCTAAGCAACTTAAGGTCCTGTCTTAAAATAAAAAATAAACAGGGCTGGGGATGTGGCTCAGTAGATAAGTGCCCCTGGGTTCAATCCCTGGTAGCCACCCCCCCCCAAAAAAAAAAAAAGAAAGAAAGAAAGGAAAGAGTTGCATGAACTCAGAGCACAGGACACAGAGTTCTCAAACAGGCTGGCTGGAACATACTCAGCAGTTGGGGTGATGCTCCAGAGAGTCACCAAGACAGTCAGCCCATAGGAGCAAACAGTTTCAGCCCATTTTTTTGTGGTTTGCTGATTGCTTGCTTGTTTGTTTTGCTCCAATGTCAGATGGGGCTATGCATGTGACAGTGCTGATTATCCAGTTAGTGGGTCAAAGATCCAAGAATTCAACAGAAATGGTGGGGTTCCTTTCCATGGAAACCTGAAGCTAGTCCTTGGAGGTCTCTTGGCACTTCCTCAGAAGGCTGGTGAGGGCCCTGAAGACAAAAGTCCCTAACTTCCCCACATTTTATAGTTCCCCTCCAAACCCAGATAACATCTGTCTGGACCCAGGCTACCCCCCACACAACCTTGGGATGAGGGTTATTCTTTCTTTATGAAGGTGACATATCCTTTCATTGATGCTTTTCAGAGGTTTGAAGGGACAGTGATAGAGGAAGAAGTGTATGAGGTAACATGATGACGTGTCAGGAACTCTTTGCTGATCAGGCCACGGGTAGCCAGGATCTTAAGGAATCCATTGCGAAAATTTTGGCCAATGAAGGCATAAATGATGGGGTTGAGGCAGGTGTGGAGGAAGCCCAAAATCTCTGTAGCATCCAGGGCCCGGTCAATGTCATTGCGGCGCTCACAGGTCTCCTCTATTAAGTGGGTCCTCATGAGGGTGTCTGCAACCAAGACCAGGTTGTAAGGCAGCCAGCAGAGCAGGAAGACCAGCACAACAGCAAAGATGACCCTCATGGCCCGGTGCTTCTGCCCCATGTGGGCCTTAAACAGGGTGCGCAGGGTGAAGCCATAGCATAACAGCATGATGAGCAGTGGTATGACAAAGCCAAAGGTCTGGGGCAGGATCCGCGACACCATCCGCCATTTTGCTGTATCATTACCCAGGAACTCATAGCAGACTGGGCTGGAATTGGTAGGACTAAAGGCCTGGCGGAAGATGAAGAAGGGCAGGGACAGAATCAAAGAGAATCCCCAGATGCCGAGACATATGAACTTGACCAAGTGGCGCTTCTTGGTCAGTGTACGTGTGGCATGGACAACGGCCAGATATCGGTCCATGCTGATGCAGGCCAGTAGTAGAATACCACTGTAGAAGTTCACTTCCTTCAGGAATGAGACCATCTTGCACAGGGGTGTGCCAAAAATCCAACCCTTCTCCTTAGCAGCCGCCCAGATGGGCAAGGTCAGAGCAAAGAGCAGATCGGCCATGGCTAGATTCAGCAGGTAGACATCGGTGACTGAACGGTTGACCTGACTGTATAAGATGACTAGTATCACCAGGGAGTTTCCCAGCAAGCTCAGCAGGAACACCACAGCATAGATGACTACCACAACATGCTTGTTAAGCATCTCAGTGTCCAGGCTACAGGGGCTGTACTCTTCACCCAGAGGTGGCATGCCAGTGAAATTGAAATCATACTCAAAGAATGCCCACAGATCAGAGATATTCCACATGCCTTCTTTGATTTCAGACATGGTTTGACCTACTTGAAAAGTTAGAAGAAATGAGATTTAGTAATTCATATTCAAGCGATTCTTATGAAGGATGTGAGAACACTTATCAGGACAATTTTTGCTTCTCTGATGGTTTGGAAACCCGAGATTATTCCCTTTACCTCCAATTTGACCACCCAGTGTTACCAACCTTCCATATACTCTGAGGCCCAGCGTGAGCATGGGATAAGATCCAACTCGGAGAAGACACCTTTGCACTTGATTGGCCCGAGGACTGGGGAAACTCTACCTGCAACTCCACCTCTTGCCCTCTTTAGCCTTCATCCTCTGCCATGTGTGTGCATTCAGATGGGAAATCAGGCTGGTCTTACCCACTCAGGAGAGGCCAGAACTCTGCAAAAGGGCAGGATGCAAGCCCGATCCAGTTGTCCCTTTCTACCTTATTTCTCCTCCTATGAGCTCCCAATTCCTGTGCTCCTCCCTATGCTTTCAATTTACAAATCTGCTGGAAGAAACTGACAGCATCAAATTGCATTATGCTATGTGGATGCTCCTCAACTTACAATGGGACTATATCAATCATTAGGTGAAAATATCATAAGTCAAAAATGCACTTAATACACCTAACCTACATCATAGCTTAGCCTTGCCTATCTTAAATGTGCTCAGAATATTACATTAGATGATACTTGGGAAAATATCCTCTTGCACAAACCCCATTTTGTAATAAAATGTTGAATATTTCATGTAATCTAGTGGATACCCTACTGAGAGTTAAAAAAAAAAAAACAGAATGGTTGTGTGGTGCTGTCACTTATTTTAAGCCTATCTTCAAATGAGTATTAAATATCTTGGTCCTCTGTCTAAAGGAAGTCTAAGCATTTGAGAGGACAATGTCTCAATCTCTTAAACATCCACAGAATCATTCAGCAGCTTTCAAAAGTTTTTTTATTGTAAAAAAAAATTTGTTGAAACTTCCCAGAAGCCTAGTACGTGAAACAGATCAAAGCTGAGCTGCCAGTGCAGGCCAAGGAGGTCATGTGCAGCTGTCTCCATGAAGACGGTCCCCACCACCCCCACCTCCTCCCCAGCTCCAGGCCCTCCAGAGAACTGTTTGAAAACCTTTGGAAGTTCATCAGATTGGAAATGAGGTGAGCTGGCACTAGTGGCTTTCTCTTTTGTGACCTTGACTGGGATCTTTTACACTTATACATTTCCATTTCACATCAGCAAATTGAGGGAGATAGAGAAGGTACCTCTCCTTTGCTACCACATCTAAGTTTCTATGATAAGTTCATTACGTTTCAGTATGTTCTCTCACTTCCAGTATTCGCATTCTCACAGAGGACAGAGTCATAATAGTCTTAGGACAAACCAATGACTATCCAATTGAGGAACTGTTGACCTCTGCCCTATAAAAGGGCAAAGAGTACAGAGAAAGGACGAGACTCCTTCTCACCAACTATGACCAAGTAGAAGGTCAGAACTGAATCGAAGGCACAGAGAGGAGGCGGGAAGCCAAGTAACAGAAATCCTCAGATTCCAGAGAAATAAATGCATATTCTACAATAAAGTCAAACCAAGCCTCCCTAGCCCAAAGAAAGTCCTGAACAAATAGGCAGATTCTTACCTGAGGTACCAGCCAGGAACAACCAAGGCAGGAGCCTGTAACTCAGAGAAGACAACAGTGACTTAACATTTGGAAGGAAATGGATGAATAAAGGGAAATAGAGAAACCACATCAAACCACACCTCCCTCCTGAGCCCCACCCATGTCTGCATTTGGGGAACAAGATTAAGTCACAGAATTCCAGCACATCAGAAACTCCAGAGGTTCCTGTGTACGGGGCTGGAGTTAAGGTCTGTTATCTAAATTCTCCACTCTGTGGATGAACACTTATTATTGCCTTCCATTTCTTGAATTTAGTTCTATTGGTTTATTCCCAAATTTCCTAGTAGATCACCAATGTTCCTGACAAACATAAAGACAAAAGGTTTTTTATTTTTACAGCAGAGGCTCAGAAGGAGTTCACCCCCTAGGAGGGATTTGGGGCCAGTTGATGGGAAGGAGGCAGAGGACTACACTGAATTCCTACTTGCATAGTAGACTTCTTTGGTGTGGCCTGGTGGAGTTTTGGAATGGAACCAACCCCACTCTTTTCCACAGCTGCTGTCAATGATTGGTTGGTTCCCATCACTCTGGGGCTGGGGTCACAGGCCATTGGGGAGGCTGCTGGATAGCATGGAGACCACTGTGGTGGGGCCAATCATCTATGGAAGGTTTGGGCTCCATTTCATTGCTGCTCCTCTCTCCATAATGAAGGATGGATTCTCTGAGAACTTAGCTGAGCTGCCCCCAGTGGCTGATGGCTGTCCTCAGGCTTTAGTCCTCTAGCACTTAAATCACTACTCTAACAGGAACCCTACTGTACTGTCTTCACGTGTTGGCAAGCCAGGATTCTCCCCTACTTGGTGAGCTGTTAGAATGCAAGGACCTTCTCCAACTCATCCTTAGAACCTCTTCCAGGAAATATAGCAAGAGCTCAGCCAATGGCTGTGGAAGAAATGATTGCAGTCTCTGATCTTAGAGAGCATGGGTCACCAGCATGAGCCGGAGCATCTATCACTTAGGGTCACACCCTCACACCTGAAGTCTGTATAAAAGCTTCCTTTTCACACAGCTAGCTGGTCTGGCTGCAGTGACGCTGCCCAGCCTCCTCTTTTGTCTAAAGATAGTCCCAATCTACATAGTATAAGTGTAAATCCTGCCCTTCCCGTAAACGCCAAATTTATCGTGCAGATGGTGCCTCCACTTCTGCCACTGGCAAGCATACTTTTTAAGCTAAATTGTCCTCTTTCTGGGTTCTTTTCACATTTATAAACATGGCAGGAAGTGTAAGGAGACAATTGCCCTGGAGTTACTCATAGCCTGCTTTTACTGATGCAGGACTATTGGGATATGATGACTAGATCTGAAAGGACTCAAAGTTGGGGTAGTTCTGGAAGGGAGAGGATGTGCCCTATTAATCAACTAGGGAAAAGGAAGCTCCTGGGGCAGAAAATAGTGACTTCAGGCTGAAGATATGCTTCAGTTGTAGAGTGCTTGCCTAGCTATGCACATATGCACATAACTATGCACATATAGTGACTCAGGACATGGAAGAAAGAGACCATGGGACCTAGACTGCAAAAACATCTATCTATGTGAACTCATGAACAAGTGGATAGCCAGGCAAGATGGCGCATGCCTGTAATCCCAGTGGCTCTAGAGGATGAGGCAGGAGGATCACAGGTTCAAAGCCAGCCTCAGCAACAGTGAGGAACTAAAGCAACTCAGTGACACCATGTCCCTAAATAAAATATAAAAAGGAGCCGTGGGGTGGTAACGCATGCCTGTAATCCTATTGGCTGGGGAGACTAAGGCAGGAGGATCTCAAGGTCAAAGCCAGCCTGAACAACAGTGAGGCGCTAAAGCAACTCAGTGAGACCCTGTCTCTAAATAAAATACAAAATAGGGATGGGATGTAGCTCAGTGGTTGAGAGCCCCTGAGTTCCATCTCTGGTACCACCCCCCAACACACACACACACACACACACACACATACACTATATATATATATATATATATATATATATATATATATATATATATATTACATGTTCTTTATCCATTCATCTGTTGAAGGGCACCTTGGTTGGTTCCATAGCTTGGCTATCGTGAAGTAGAATAAACTGAACATAGCCTTTGCTCCTAAATGAAAACACAATCAGTAACTCCACATTATGTATTACCACAAGAATGGGTCATACTCCATGTATGCATAATATGTCAAAATAGACTCTGTTGTCACATATATCTAAAAACAATGTGATGGGGTCATATATGATGTGGAATTACACACCATATACAAAAAGAAAAATTTTTTAAAAAGAAAACAAGTGGAGGCAATGGAGAAATTGAGGTTTTGCCACAAGGGGGCAGAAGTTGCTGGACAGCAAGAGACCCATTGAGAAAGATGACAGTCAAGAGCAGTTATGAGTAAGCCCCACTTAGAAGTTCTTCTTTGTGTACAGTTCCCTTCTGCTTTTTCTAAGCCCTTGGTCAAATCAGTTCACCATGCCCATCTGTTTCGATGAATCCAGAGGACCTAGGGAAAGCTCTGGTCTCCCCTGGAGCCTGGGAATAAAGGCAAAACAGCCCCTCAGGATGAGCATGGTGATGACAATAGTGATTGCTCAGGTCTCTACCAGAAGACAGAGCTGGAGGACAAGGGTAGAAAAAAAATCTTTCACTTCTTGGTAGGAAAGAGCGTCTCATGAGAGGAGGCAGAAATGTGCATAAAGATAAGCTTGGAACAAAATTCTACACACTTGAAAAGATTCCAGCAAATCTTGCCCACCCAACACATCTTCTGCATTTCATTTTCCTCTTACACTGAGCCATTTTGTTCCTAATGGGAAAGCATTTTTCCATCCTAAGAGAGCACTTTGTGCCACAAAGATGACCTTTGATAGGTGCAGCCCAGATGCCAGTCAACTGTCAAAATTTGGGGGTCTCTCTGAGATGCTACTGTTCTTTACCACTCTGTTTGAAATATGGAGAGCTTCCACATCAATGATCATAGCAGCACAATTCACAATAGCTAGACTTTGGAATCAACCTAGATGCCCTTCAATAGATGAATGGATTAAAAAACTGTGGCATTTATACACAATGGAGTATTACGCAGCACTAAAAAATGACAAAATCATGGATTTTGCAGGGAAATGGATGGCATTAGAGCAGATTATGCTAAGTGAAGCTAGCCAATCCTTAAAAAACAAATGCCAAATGTCTTCTTTGATATAAAGAGAGGGCTGGGGATGTGGCTCAAGCGGTAGCACGCTCGCTTGGCATGCGTGCGGCCCAGGTTCGATCCTCCTCAGCACCACATACAAACAAAGATGTTGTGTCCACCGAAAACTTAAAAAAAATAAATAAATAAATAAGATATAAAGAGAGCAATTAAGATCAGAACAGGGAAGAAGAGCATGAGGAAAAGATTAACATTAAACAGAGACGAGTGGGGGGAGAGAAAGGGAGAGAGAAGGGAAACTATGGAAATGGAAAGAGACCCTCATTGTTACACAAAATTACATATAAGAGTTTGTGAGGGGAAAGGGGAAAAAAAAAACAAGGGAGAGAATTAAACAACAGCAGATGGGGTAGAGAGGGAAGATGAGAGGGAAGGGGAGGGGGGATAGTAGGGGATAGGAAAGGTAGCAGAATACAACAGTCATTAATATGGTATTATGTAAAAATGTGGATGTGTAACCGATGTGATTCTGCAACTTGTATCTGGGGTAAAAAATGGGAGTTCATAACCCACTTGAATCAAATGTATGGAAGATGATACGTCATGAGCTTTGTAATGTTTTGAACAATCAATAAAAAAAAAAAAAAGAAATATGGAGAGCTTTACACAAGATGGTGTAAGCAGCAGAGTGTGGCTGTAAAGACATCATTTTTGTCCCTGTGTCAGCTCTGATGCCCATAAAAACATCCCTTCACAATCCTCCAAAAGAATCCACTTATCTCTGAAGATCTCAGTGGAGGAAAGAGTGGGGGAAAGGGATCTCTTCCCTCTCCCTAAGACATTCCCATCATCACAGAGACAGCTTCAGAGGGCGTGTGACCTCAGATGAGTCAATCCGAGCAAAGGTCAGCATGTTTGTTCACTGCTGGTGGAAAAGCAAGTTTGTCACCTTGTAGCAGGCAGCAACTCACTACCATAAATGGGAAAACAGTCCAAGCACCAAAACTAGCACACACAGAGGAAGGCAGAGCTGAGAAATGGGGCCAAGATCCTGAACAAACCATGACCCAGGGCCATCTTCTCTCTGTACAAATCAGTCACATGAGCCAGTAAATTCTCTTTATTGTTAAGACCTATTCAAGTTGAGATTTCTGTAACCTGCAACTAAAACCACTCCCAACTGAGAGAGTTGGAAATCAGAGTGATGGGGGATGAGAGGGAGGGGACAGGAATATCAGTGAGTCAGGGGACAGAAAGGAGCGTGCAGCACCTGGCTGAGCATGGCCCTGGCCAGCTGCAGACCTCCTAGTCCTGACTGCCAAGCACCATGGAAGCTGGGGAAGGACCTTGAAAAGTGGACCCCTGAGGACCCACCTGAGGGACCCCTCCTGAACAGATTCAGAAATCCCCACAAAGGACCCCAAAAGGCCTGCTTTGGAGCCAGACACACCATGATACAAATGCTGACTCTACGTTATGGGTTGGTGATCTTGGACAAGTTTGTTGACATGTATCAAAATATCCTTATCTGCAAAAATGGAGATAATCATACTTGATTCCCAAAGCTGCTGTGATGATGAATCAGGATCAGAGCACAGGACTTAGAACCAAACCACCAGATGCAAGGCCCAATTCTGTCCCTTGGGCAGCTGAGATGCTTCCTCTGAACCTCAATTTTCTTATCTATAAAATGGGGAGAAAAGCTCCATGGGGTGACTACTGTTAGAATCTATTGGATATTTTTATGAATCACCAGAGGAGAGGAAGTTGAAGGCTCCAAATGCAGAGAAAGGAGATGAGAATGTCAATGACCCTAATTTGATCAGTTCATATTGTATACATGTATTGAAATATCACACAGTACTACATAAATAAGTACAATATTACATGTTAATCAGAAATTTTGTAAATGTTTAGAAAGAAGGAAATGTTAATTACCCCAATTTGATCACTGCATGCTGTATACATGTATCAAATTATAACACTGTACCCCATTTGTACTGTCAGATTTAACAATAAATATAACAAGTAGGAGTTTATTCATTGGATTGGGATGAGGATCAATGTGTTAATAAAGTGCTTAATAGACAATAAGTGTTCGGTTACTTCTAGCTGTCTTGATACACAACCCCCCACAGTCCTGTTGGAATAAGATTCAAAAACAGGAAAAATGCAGATCTTTGACCCTGCAATTCTATTTAATGTGAGAAGAGAAAGGAAAGAAAGAAGGGAAAGTAGGAGAGGGTGAGGAAGGAAAAGAGGAGAGGAGGGAGAGAGAAAGGGAAGGAATTAGAGAGGGCAGGAGGGAGGAAAAAGTTTATCACAGGGTTGTTTATGATGATAAAACTTGGTGAGGACATCAATGTCCTCCAAGAGACATTAACACTGGAGATACATATATATATTTTATATTTATATATAAACATATGTATTTCACATGTATATTATATATTTATATATATTATAAAATATATAACAGGACACTGTGTAAGGGTAAAAGAAATTGAAGTTAAAGTGTAAAAGTTAAAGTGTAAAAGACCGGGCATTGTAAAGTTTCTAAGCTGCAAGACCTGAGTTAAAATGTAAAGGACTGGGTATTGTTAAGTTCCTATGCTACATGCAAAACCTGAAATTCCTGAGGCAGTTAAGACAATGCCCTACTGGCCATTTAGTTGACTTATAGCCCAAGATCCTGTGCAGCTTGTCACGTAGGCATTCAAGGCCCAAACCAATCCGTTTGAATGTGTACCCCGCTTTAGAACTGACCTATCACCCCCGCCCAACCTGTTCCCGCCAATGAATGAACTAATCATGTCTCAGAATTGTTGTTTGACTTTCCCGCGGTGTATGATGATTTGTTAAAGGAGACTGTGATGTATGTAAAGTCCCGCCCTCCCCAAAAAAGTGTACTTAAGCATTGCACAACCCCTGCTCTGGGCTCTGGGCTGTTCTCCCTTCTTGAGTGGGCACGGAGCCCTAGCATGCTAGATCAATAAATCCCCTTCTGCCAATTGCATGAGTGGTCACTTGGTGGTCTCTTTCTCCGACGCTTCACCGGACCCTTACAACTGTGCTTCTGTTAAAAGTAATAATGTAATGAAAAAATAATAACGTAATACTGTAATTAGAGCTATGAAAAACTATAATAGCTGACACTGATGAATGGAGGCAACCTCAAGTTCCACATCTACCACATGGGCCAGGCTGGCTTTCCTGAAGCGCGAGCTGTCTTCTCCGCTGCTGAGATCTGCTGTGGCCTGGAGGACCTGCACCGGGAGCGGATTGTGTACAGGGACCTGAAGCCAGAGAACATCGTACTGGATGACCATGGCCACATCTGCATCTCTGACCTGGGACTGGCTGTGCATGTACCAGAAGGCCAGACCATCAAAGGCCGGGTGGGCACCGTGGGCTACATGGCTCCAGAGGTGGTAAAGAATGAGCGGTACACATGCAGCCCTGACTGGTGGGCATTAGGCTGCCTCCTGTATGAGATGATCGCAGGCCAGTCGCCCTTCCAGCAAAGGAAAAGAAGATCAAGCGGGAGGAGGTGGAGCGGCTGGTGAAGGGAGTGCCTGAGGAGTATCCTGAGCGCTTTTCCCCGCAGGCCCGCTCACTCTGCTCCCAGCTTCTCTGCAAAGACCCTGCGGAGCCCCTAGGGTGTCGTGGGGGTGGCGCTCGAGAGGTGAAGGAGCACCCCCTTTTCAAGAAACTGAACTTGAAGCGGCTGGGAGCTGGCGTGCTGGAACGGCCCTTTAAGCCTGATCCCCAGGCTATTTATTGCAAGGATGTTCTGGATATTGAACAATCCTCCACAGTTAAAGGTGTGGAGCTGGGGCCCACCGGCCAGGATTTCTACCAGAAGTTTGCCACTGGCAGTGTGCCCATCCCTTGGCGGAACGAGATGGTGGAGACTGAGTGCTTCCAGGAGCTGAATGTTTTTGGGCTGGATGGCTCGGTTCCTCCAGACCTGGACTGGAAAGGCCAGCCGCCTGCACCCCCCAAGAAAGGACTGCTGCAGAGACGCCAGGATTGCTGTGGGAACTACTGCAGCGACAGTGAGGAAGAACTCCCCACCAGCCTCTAGTCCCCAGCCCCAGGCCCGATTGGCGGTAGCAGCTACTCTGAATGCTGTTTACAGTTTTGCACAGTGGTCTTCCCCATTGTCCACTCAAGTCGTGGCCTGGGGAACACAGCCGGAGCTGTCCCCAGTGTCCTCTGCCCCTCGGCCCCTGGCCTGGCTGAGTTTGGCAAGGACTGGGCTGTCCCTGGGACAAAGGTGCGTCCCTTCAGCTCTTCTCCGGAGCTCGGGGCTTTCTGTATTTATGTATTTGTACGAGTGTCTATCACAACCAGAGCGCTCTTAATTCCCACCCCAGACCGGCACCCTGGCTCCCGCTCCTCTGTGCAGCCAGCCCTGGTCAGGAGAGCTGGGAGCTGGCAGAGGAGCCACTGCCAAACAAGGCTTCTCAGACCCAGCTCAGATCACCTGAGGCTGGGCCAGGCCACACCCTTGAGTCCCCAGCATTGCACTGGCCACCACCAACCTCCAAATGACAGTTATGCCTGCCCCCACTGTCCTGGGCTCAGGCCACCACCATTTCAGACCCAATACTATCCCTTCTAAGTACTTGTTAGAGCTGGATCTGGGGCTTCAGTGTCCCCTAGGCCTGTGCCAAAGTGTGACCAGAGATTGGGCTGACCATGAGACCCATCAGTCCACTGCCCAGGTTGTCCCAGATGGGTCTTTCTCTGCCTTCCAGCTCCCAGGGCACTTTGTCTCTTATGCTGGGCCCTGTCCTGAAGACACCTCTTCAGAAATGCTCCAGCTCAGACCATAGGAGGGTGTGGGGTGTCCCTGGCCAAACCTCCATCATTCCAGAATCTCTTCATAACAACAAATACGCGTGCCCAGCAATAATCCGCCCTCCCTGTGTGTGCCCATGGGGAGCGTGTGTGTGTGTGTGTGTGTGTGTGTGTGTGTAAAACTGTGTGTGAAGGGGGCAAGGTAAGGCTGTGCCTGTGCCCCAGGTCCCAGCCCTGGTCCTTCCCAGACTGTGATGACCATCCTGGTCCCAGTGTTAGGGTAACATGGGATTATAGGGCCCTAGATTTTCCATATTTAAAGCCAATTTTTATTACTCATTTTGTCCATTGTAAGCTGCCACGTGTCTCTGTGAATACAGTCTGAGCACAAACCTTAAAAAAAAAAAAAAAAAAGAAAAGGAAAAACTATAATAATGGAAAAAAGATTAGTGAGCCAAATTTATAGTCTAACATTTTGTATATTTATTACAAATATATGTATGTGGACATCCAGGGTGAAAATTGGAAAGATAGTCCAACTATTAACAGTGGTTGTCTTCAGAGACTGACATTTGTTTTTTTGTTTATGTCTTTTGATATTGTCTAATTTGAAAAACGACCATTACTATTGTAATCAGGAATATATATATACCTATTTTACTAAAAAAACAAAGAAATAGCACAATATGGCCACTTCCTGGGGCCACACTCAGATTTGCCTGTGCATCCAGCATTCAGCCTCTACCTCTTGGGCTCTTAACTCCTCAATCGTGAAATCCCCTGCAGTCTCCTCCCCACTGGCCTCCCACCCCAGGTCTCCACTGAGGCTGATTTTTCAGGCTGTGTCACTTTTCTCTTACTAGACTGTAAGCAGTCAAAACTGGCACCAGCCTGTCAGGGACCGTGATGGACAAAGCATTCCTTCCTGTCTCCCTGCCCCTCCCTTCAAGGCAGAAATACATGACTCCAGTTTGCATTCCCGGTGCCTTGCCAAGTGTGTGACACAGGGAGTGGGCATGTGACCTACCCAGTCTCCCAGGGTCCCAGGCTCAGTAAAGCCCCACCCTAGGTTTTAATGCTCTGAAGTCGATGTCTTATAATTCTTAATAATGTTACTTTGGAATTTGTGTTTTGGAAGCAGAGCCTGATGGGACGGTGCTCATGCCCCTGTCCTGAGCCTCTGCTCCCAGTGCAGTCCTCTTGTTGCCTCGCTGGGATGAGGGCTCAGCCTCCCAGTCTCCCACTCCTAGACCACGACAACCCTCAACCCTGACACAGGCACTGGGAAGGGCAACGTCAGGGCAGGAGCACCCAAGACCCTCTGCACTTTCCTGTGAGTGTGCCGGTGCCCGGGGGAATGCACCACTAACTAGCAAATAAAAAACACCGAGTCTGGTTAGGAGAAAGACCACGGAAGAAAGGAAAGAGCTTTCTTCCTGCCTTTTGAACAAGGGACCCATGTTTTCTTTCTGCAGTGGGTCCCACAAAGTATGCAGCCAGCCCTTATACTAGATAAATATTTATTACATACATTGAATATCGAAGGAGGGGCACAGAGCTAAATGGCAAAATGGGATTTTCATTTTAGCTCAGTTAATGCAACTCCTTCCTCCTAAACGCCAACATTCACAGACTCTCCACCTCTTAAACCCAGTGTTCAACCCACCTGAAAATGCTATGGGGTCTCCCCCAAATAAATCCCTCTCCTATTTTCTCCCAGCTCTTCTGTCATGGCCTTGACCCCTGTCACTGTCCCTTCTCATCCAGATCACAGAAACAACCTCTCCATCACCCCTGCTTCTGTCCTTCCTCTTCCTTTTTTTTTAAAATATTTTTTAATTTGTTCTAATTAGTCATGCATGACAGTAGAATGCATTTTGACACATCATACATAAATGGGGTTCAACTTCTCATTCGTCTGGGGGTACCCGATGTAGAGTTACCCAGGTCGAGTAGTCATACATGCATATTGCCCTTTCTCTTCTGCAGTCTGTCCCCAACATGTGGCCAGAGGCATCCTTCCACTCTCTCTCTCACTCCTCCCTACCCTTCAATATCTCCAAATCATCAATTCCACTTTAATTTTTTTAATTTGTTTTTAATTGACACAGAAATAGTACACATTTATGGGCCACCATGGAATGTCTTTAAACATGAATACATGTAATGTTTAAATCAAGGAAAGCACATCTACCTCCTCAAACCTTTATCTTTTTGAGGACTGGATACTGGGGATTGAACCCGCAGATGCTCTACCACTGAGCTACATTCCGAGCACTTTTTATTTTGAGATGGGTTGTCTCTGAGTAGTCCAGGTTGACCTCAAACTTGTGATCCTCCTGCCCCAGCCTCCCTGATCACTAGAATTACAGGTCTGCATCACCACGCCCAACCATGTGTCCTTTATTTGTGGTGTACACGTTCAAAATCCTTTCTTCCAGGTTTTTGGGAACACTCAGCACACAATCTTTATCTATAGTCACTCTGCTACATACGATGGCATTTCAGAAGTCCTTTGTCATGCTGTCTTACTATAACTTAGTTCCCACTGACCTCCTCTGCCCCCCACTAATTCTCCAGCCTCTGGCAACCACCATGTTACTCTCCATTTCTATGAGATCAACTTGACATGCAATATGAGCGGGATCATGTGGTCTTTGTCTTCCTGTGCCTGCCTTATTTCACTTAATATCATGTTCTCCAGTGTCACCCACCTTGTCATTTCACTCCTCTTGGGGCTAAGTATATTCCCTGGTGTCTAAGTATCACATTTTCTTTGTCCATTCATCCACTGGTGGACCGTAACATTGTCTCCATTTCTTGGCTACCAGAAATACTGCAGCGTGCACATGTGAGTACAGATGTCTCTTCAACATGCCCATTTCACTTCCTTTCTGTACCGTCCCAGTAATGGGACTGCTGGCTCATATGGAAGTTCTATTTTTAATTTTTCCAGGAACTGCCATGCTGTTAGTGATGGCTACACTAATTTACATTCCCATCACCAGGTGCCATGTTCCCTTTTCTCCACATCCTCGCCCACACTTATTATCTTTTGTCTTTCTGCTAATTGCCATTCTAACTGGAGTGAGATAATATCTCATTGTGGTTTTGATTTGCAATTCTGCCATGACTGGTGATGCTGAGCATTTTTTCATTTATCTGTCAGCCATTCCTGCTTCGGCTTTTAGAAATGTCTATTTAGGTCTATTGCCCACTTCTAACTGGATATTTGGTTTATTCTCTTTTGAGGGTGTGTGTGTGTGTGTGTGTGTGTGTGTGTGTGTGTTAGTTCTTTATTTATTCTGGATATTAATCTCTCATCAAATGTACAGTTTGCAAATATTTTTTTCCACTCTGTAGTTTGTCTCTTTGCTTTGTTGGTTTTTCCCTTTGCTATGCAGAAGATTTTGATTTGATGAAATCCCACGTCTGTTTTTTGCTTTTGTTTCCTGTGGGTGTGGAGTCTTGTCCAAAAAATCTCTTGCCCATTCCAATGTCCTAAATTGTTTCCCCTGTGCTTTCTTCTAGTAGTTTCATGGTTTCCACTCTTAACATTGATGTCTTTAATCCATTTTGAGTTGGTTTTGGTAACTGGTGAGAGATAGGGACATAGTTTCATTCTTCTGCATGTGGATATCTGATGTTCCCAACACCATTTATCAAAGAGAACGTCTTTTCCCCAATGTGTGTTCTCAGCAGGATCTATCGACTATAGGTGTGTGGGTCTCCCTGTGCCTCTCTATTCTGTTCCATTGGTCTATATGTCTGTTCTTGTGTCAATATCTTGCTCTTTTGACTACTATAGCTTCATAGTATGCTTTTTGCTTTTGTTTTTGTTTTGTTTGTTTTGTGGTGCTGGGGATTGAACTCAGACCTAGCCCATGCTAGACAAGTGCTCTACCACGGAGTTCCATACCCAGCTCCCTTTTATTTTGAAAAAGTGTTTCACGAAGATGTTCAGGCTGGCCTTGAACTTGTGATCTTCCTGCCTCAGTCTCCCAAGTAGCTGGAATTAAGGTGTGCACCACCATGCCTGGCTTATAGTATGTTTTGAAGTCAAGTAGTGTAATGCCTCCCACTTCATTCTTTTAGCTATTAGAGTCTTCTACGGTTCCCTGTGAACCCAAGGATTTTTTTTTTCAACTTCTGTGAATAATGTCACTGGTATTTTGATAGGGATTGCATTGAATCTGTAGGTTGCTTTGGATAGCATGGATCTTTTAACAAAATCAATTATTCCAATCCATGAACATGAAATATTTTTCCAATTTTCTGTGT